GGGTGGTTTCTTCCAGTATATGGGTTGATCAGTATTCAGCTGAATACTCAAGCGGGAGCATGTGCAGATTATCTGTGTTCTTTCTCTGTGGATCTCTTCTCTTTATCATATTCTATTCTATTTTGTACTTTTACTGCCTTGATCTCCCAGGGCTCTCAGCTTTGTCTCCTCAGCTCAGAGAGTTTGCCAGGCTCTGCCTTGGTTTCCTCTTCCTGTATCGTGGCCAGGAAAGTCTCTCATGGTGGTAAGCTGGGCTATCATCCTTTTTTGTTGTTGTTGTTCATTTCTCAGGGATTACTGTCCTTCATTGCCTGACATCCAGTGCTTTATAAACATTTTTGCATTTATTTGGTCTATTTTTTGGTTTCAGGTAGGAAAGGTAGATATCTGGTCTCTGTTACTCTGCCTTGGCTGGAAGCAAATTATAACTTTTAATAAGACTATACTGAGTTTGAACGTAATAAAATGGAAATAAAACATAGCCAATAGTTTGCAGTAGCAATCATATGCAACTGCATTCCTAGTCTACAACCCTGCTGTAGCACCCAACCCTGGGTCCACACAGCAGTGGCTAGCTTTCCTGCCTTTCCACCTGCCATGATAAGATTTTCTTTTATCATACAAAACATGTTTGCTCCTTATAGTCCAACTGTCTTGAACATTTTAAAGGAGAGTCTTTATTACTGTTTTTTTTTTTTTTTAACAGCTGTGTAAGTTTAGGATTGAATTGAGGTTATCCTCTTTTCTGCCAAATGTAATAATTGTCTGCTAAAAAGTTTAAGATTCTACATCTTCAGAGTTTTCAAATTCGAAATGGCAGTTTCCCAGTTAAAAACAAAAACAAACCCTGAGTGTTTAGTCTCAGTCTGTGAACTCTATTATATATTGAATAAATGAATATGTACTAATGCATGTTATATATGTATGATATGAACCTTTTACCATGATGTATCACTTAGCCAGATGCATATATCAGGAATCTTAATTGAATAATAAGCATAATGTCAAATAAAAGTTGGGGAAATTTTTATCTTTAGTATCTGCCCCTTTTCATTTTGGTTATTCTCTTTTTCCTATCAATATTTTTCTTATACCATGTTTTCTTTGACTTTTTAAGTTTATAATCAATATAATCACTTTTAGAAAGTAGAATTATACTTTTAAATGCAGCAAAAGAACCTGTAAAAGAACATGTAGCAAGCTTTATAAAATAAAGAATATTTTGTAATATGTGTATTGGCCAACAATTTTTTTTTGTACTTCTGGAGTTTATTTATTTGATTATATAAAAAGTTTTATATGTCAGATTCTACATATTTATATATTCAGAAATTTTCAACTCTTATATGGGTGTATAAAAGTTACCTCTATAGATATTTGTAGACTATATACTCCAGTACCTTATTTTACCAGGCATTTCATAACTGTTTTTTTAATGATTAAAAAAATCCCATTTTTTAGGAAAAGGACTAAATGGATTCAGTAGAAAGAAGTTTTCTGAAACTAGTTCTTGTGGCATTTTCAAGACCTTTAGTAAATTATTTTTATGTGTAGAGTGGAATTTCTTCAAGAAAAAAGAAGTTATTTTTATTTGTATGTATTTTAAAAGTGAAATTTCCTATTCAATAAACTTCAAAGTAAAAGCATTATAAGCAAGATTGGGAATGATATTTCAAAAGAGTAGACTCTTCACATGAGACTTTATAAAAATAGATGCTCATATTCTATATGGAAAGGAAACTTGTACTTTTTTTTCTATTTAATTAGGAAAATAACCATTTTCTCCTGTCAGAAATCAATTTGACAGTGAACTAGCTACATTCTATAAACCAACTATCATTATCAATACCTTATCAGAGTTGGAATATGTTTCTTTTACCTAGAACATTCCTTTGTATTTCTTCTGACAACTCAGGCAGAGGTAGGTCCTCCTCCGTATCTCTTAGTCCTTTGTACAGGCCTGTACCAGAGACCTATTTAGATTGTATTAGTGTTTGTTGGCTTTCACTTGACTCTGAACTTCTTGGGCTGCAAAACTGTTTCATACTGATATCTAGATCCTGGATACCTAGGATACAGTTGTTTAATATAGGGAACAACAAATGTTTATCAAATAAAAGTTGAATAGTATTCATGCACATACTCATTCAGCAATTTGTAGTCAATGTGTTGAATATACGCAAGAGTAGGCACTATTGTAGATCCTGAGAAAGCTGTGGTGACCAGGACCAATGCAGCTCTTGCACTTACTAGTTTATGATCTAGAAGAAAAGACAGGTTTTGACACAATTTGTTATAATAAATTATGATGAAAGTTACAGTAGAAAGCATAGGATATCACTGTAAGACCTATCTTAGTAATGGGGGGGTGGGGGTCCAAGCTTCCCATAGGAAGTGATGTTTAAGTTAGGACCAGAGTGTGGGCTGAAACGAGCTGAAAGGGGTTAGGAATACTGGGGAAATCAGGGACAAGTCCAGCAATAAGAATGTAAGTTATAGCATCTTTATTAATGTATTTTGGGAGTGACTTTACTCTTCCCAGCACACCTACCTGACTGGCTCTTCATATCCCTTTAATGAAGACAAGGATATAGTATTTGTTTAAATGAATTCTTTCTGAATATGGCTCTTCAGCCAGTTGTTCAACATTCCAACATTTTTTAGAGTCAAAAATACATAATTTTTTGATATATATTTAGTTTTAGTATGTAAAGTCAAAGGCAGTATTCTAAAAAGGCTATTATAACTTTCCAACTCATAATTACAAGAAGAAAAAAATAATCCTTTTTTGTGGGCATTCATCTGTTCTCCAAATTTTGGAGGTCAGCTTAACTTTTTATAGTCTCATAGCAGGAATTCTGACTTGCAGAGAAGCACATGAAAATCATCCACTTATTGGTCTTAAAAATTTACCATCTCTATTAGAAATTTCCCCCGAAATAACAAACAGTTAATCTTTGTTGAGTACTTTCCATGTTTAAATACTGTGCTAAATATATGAACTGTCTCATCCAAGCATCCAGGAAACACTGTGAGATAAGTCATATTTTTACCCCTTTCCTATAGATAAGGACATTGAAGGTATTTAGTGTCCAAGTTCCCAGAGCTAAAAGGGGCATGTAAGAATTTGATCTCAGAAGTATCTAGAGTCCTAGTTCCTAACTTGGTATTGCTAAAGAGATCTAAATGAGACATATTAACATGTTAAGACAGTCTCAGAGCTCTTCACAAGTTTTATCTATTATAAGAAACAGTATTCTTTATTTTATTTAATAAAATAACTGACTAAATTTTCTTTATGCTAAGGTTCATGAGTCAATGAGAACTAAAATATTTATGGATGTAATCCATAAATCGGTAAGACAGACCCTTTTGTATATTTGTGATGGGATGATTGTATTTTGGATAATTTTGTGGCAAATATAACAAATTTCATTTGCCCCTTGACTCAGCAATTCTACTTTTAGGAATTTATCTGACAGCTAAACTTGTTCATGCATGCAAAGATATATGTCCTGGGCATTCTCTGTAGTATTACATGAAATAGGAAAAAGTTGGAAATGACTTATGTGTTCAAATAGGGGCCTGGTAAAATAAGTTACAATGTATCAGTGAAATATAACTTATGTGCTCTTATTTAATACTCATAAAATAGTAGGTATTATTATTAATTAATTTAAAAAAGAAGAAAATGAAGAGTAATGAGGTTAAGTGACTTGATTAAGGTACTAGGACAGAGACATTGAAGCAGTCTGGCTCCAGAGCCCACAATGTTAATTACTGTGCTGTATTGTCTCCTGGTTGTCTATTTCCAAGTATAAAAGGAAAACAAATTGATAATCAAAAAGAAGAAATTATAGAAAATTTCTCTAGTATGATACTACTTATTAAAGGCTCTATATTTTTATCTTTTCCTCTTACAACTTGTAAAATAACTATGTTTTCTTATAAAATCTGTCTTTAAAAGGACATATATTTGTATATGTGAATGTATATGAATCTATTCATAAAACATACACATATATAAAACATACATATACATTTATGTATATAGAACATGTATGTATCTATACATATACACATAAATCATATTCATGGAAGATTTTCTGGATAGATATACAAGAGCTGAATAATTGGTGCTTTGGGGGATTCGTTTGGAGACTTTTAAATTTTATACTTGATATTCTTTAGTATGGTGAATTATTTAAAAGTAATGGACATGTGTTATAATACTGTTATAATAAAAACCGTTTAGACTTAAAACCTTAAAAAATAGTGGATATGGTAATTCTCTATCAATCATGTTGTTGGATGGGAGTAAAGAGAGACTTTTTATTAAATATTTTCATTTTATATCCTTTTGAACCGGGAACTTAAAACAATGAATGAATACATACTTCTTTTATAATAAATATATTTTAAATGAAAAGGCATTAAAAATAGTGGACACAATATTCTCTAACAATTATGCACTGCGAAGTACTATTTCCGTGACTAAATTTAGGATATAGTTTATTCATTATATTGATAATTTAGAATAAATTTTCCTATGTTAAACTTTTATCAGAGAGCTGCAGTCTTATTATCTTAAGGCTACTTCTTTTCTAACATCCATTGAGTTGAAAAGTAATTCAATAAAGATTTACCCTGTTTTTATAAGCAGAATTGTTTATGATTGAAGTTCTAGTAATAAAACCTTTTACAAGAAATGAGATTCAGCAAATGTAGAAGTTGACAGCAATTTTACCAGATGTTCCTAGTTAATTCAGCACGTTTTTTGCAGGAAAATGATATCATGCTTCTTAATTCCAGAATATTTGTCAAAAACAAATGTTAATTTGAAACTGCATTGTTTAAGAGACAATATGCTAGTGTCAACTGATAATATTTTTATATTATGCTTGATCTTGGAATTTACTTGGAATTAGGTTGGCTGATAAATTCTGAAATAGGCATAGTTGAAACTTGAAGTATAACTTATTCGGGGTTGTGTTTTTCAGGTGAAGCTCTGAAAGTATCAGCTGAGAGATTCACAGATGACCCCTGTTTTCTCCCAAAAAGGGAGGCTGTGGTTCAAGCCGCCCGTGCCTTGCTGGCTGCAGTGACAAGACTCCTTATTCTTGCGGACATGATTGATGTCATGTGCCTCTTGCAGCACGTGTCAGCTGTAAGTAAAAGATGGCCTAGTTTACCTCAGCATTGTCTTTACTTCTAATTTCATTCTCTCAACCTGGCATCAATCCTAGTGCATCTTAGCTTCACTCTTATTTCTTAACATCACCCTTCAGAAGCAGATTAGATTGGGTTGTGAAGACTAATGTATACCTCAAAATAAGGAAGCCAGAGTGAGTTCTAAAGCCAATGGGAAATTGAACAGAAGATGGGTTACTTATAAGGAAATGCCTGGGAGAAAGTTCTAGACTTTTGACCATTTAACTATGCTCTCTATAAATAATTATGTAGATAATATATAATGAACATATAGGTATAAATAACTTGAAAAATAGAAACCTTAAAGCTTAAGACATTTGGAAATTTATCCTAGTTTGTAAATGCATTCTACTTTGCCAGGTCCTCTTGATTCAGGATAAACAGTGTGTGTTTACAGGTAGTCTGTGATGTCTCTAGTAATCCATTAGGAAAATGTAGATATGTATTTAATATGAGTAAATAATATATATTAACTAGGAGGATACAAAGTTAGCAAGATATCTTGAATGTTTTATTTTGTCTGACAAACCCACTTAGCACGTTTTTAGTAGAAAGAGAATTTTATTAAAGCATTTTTGTTTTCTTCGTTTGACTGAATCATTGAGTTCAGTTGAAAAGGTTGCAAAGAACTCTTTTTATATCTGTTGTATTTTCTGCTTGAAATAGGACTCTTACACTCTGTCCATAAATACATCTGCATTTTCCTAAAGTGTCTGTGATTTTAATAGCCCTACTTTATTAAGCAAACGATGGTCTTATTTCATTAACCTTCCTGTCGAAATCATTTTCTCTAGCTAAGCTAAACCTTTCTTTGCATCCTTTTTTTTTTTTTTTTTTTTTTTGATGGGGTCTTTCACTGTAGCCCGGGCTGGAGTGCAATGGTGTGATTTCGGCTGACTGCAACCTCCGCCTCCCAGGTTGACGTGATTCTTCTGTCTCAGCCGCCTGAGTAGCTGGGATTACAGGTGCATGCCACTATGCTGGCTAATTTTTTGTATTTTTAAATTATTTTTCTTTTTTTAGTAGTGACGGGGTTTCACTATTTGGCCAGGCTGATCTTGAACTCCTGACTTCATGATCCGCCTGCCTTGGCCTCCTGAAGTGGGGGGATTACAGGTGTGAGCCACTGTGCTTGGCCACATCTTTCTTGTATTCACTATTGCTTATTTTAACACTAGCGTGACCCTGTCTTTGTACTTTCATTTTTTTTTCTTTTGATAGTTTTATTACTCAAAAAGAGCAATTCAATACCTTGGTGTTTTTTTTTTTTTTTTTTTTTTTTTTTAGTTGAAGCACCTTTTTAGGAAAGGGAACTGTTCTCATCATCAGCAGCTGTTTACTAGTGAATTTGTAGGTGATATAATTGAGAAAAGGTTTCTGTTACTTGGTTCTTGGTTTGTTGAATAACCATAGACAAATTACTGAACTGACAGTTTTATTACTGTAAAAAGAGCAATTCAATACCTCTTTTTTCTTAGTTGAAGTAGCTTTTTAGGAAAGGAAATTGTTCTCATTACCAGCAGCTGTTTACTGGTGGATTTGTAGGTGATATAATTGAACAGAGGCTTCTGTTACTTGGTTCTTGGTTTGTTGAATAACCATAGACAAATTACTAAACATTTCTGAGATTCATTTGTCTCATATTTGACTATAGACACTAATAAATGCTGTAAACAAGAAATGGGTACAAAAGATTAAGTGATAAGTAATTCCTAGTTCCAGTAACCTAGTAATACCTAGTTCCAAGGACCCAATAATATTTGTTTTAGACTCTAGATTTGTTGAGATAGGGCAGAATGCAGGGCTTTTGTAAGGTGAAAACTGCCAGCCTCAAACCAAGTAGGAGGTAACTGTTTATAAAGAACACAACCACTGTCACTACCAGTTTAATTGAGTGTCCAGTAGGAGTTAGGCACAGAGGTAGGTAATTCACATACATCATGTCATGCAAATGAAGCAGGATGGTATTGAAGATCAAAGAAAAGCAAAGTACTACCTCTTGCAATAAAAATTATAGCTAATATTTGTTGGATTTTTATAATGTGCCAAACACTGTGCTGGATTATCTCCTTTAATTCAATTCTTGCAACAGCCCTATGATCATGATTTCTATTTAACAAACGAGAAAGCTGAGGCACATTGCATTTAAGTAACATCCTCAAGGCAACAGAAAAGAATTAAAACTTTTGGAACTTACTGCTCTAATGGTTAGAAGAGCTTCAACAACAAACAGCTTTTACAAGTTTAGGCTAATTCATGGATCTACAACCAGTTGTTAAAGTAAGTTAGATATGCCAGGAGGTTTTTAAAATTCCAACTGTCCTCTCCTACCTGCACTTGGTTGCTTCTTATAGCCTGAACTTCAACTAGATTATGTCACATAGGAGTATGCATAGTACAACAATGATATGTTATGAGAAAGGAAGTGACATCTTACAAAGAGAAGGGGACACCTTTTGTGGTAAATTATGATAGTTTTTCCATGGTTTTATCTTCATGAAAAGTTTATATATGAATCATATTGTCAACTCAATTCTTTCAAGACTTCATGTAGAATGAAAAACACTAAATTGTCCTTGAGATTATCAAGAGTAAAATTATTTAGCCCAACATTTTCCCAAAAGTATTCTGTAGAACATGTCTTGAAAATAAGGAACAGGAAAAGAGTTGGTTTTTGTAAATGATCAATGCTACACATAGAAATTCCCATGAATGTTTTGATGCACATGAGCACATTAAAATCGTTGAGAAATATTGCCATGGAGAAGCCTGTTTAACTCTGCTTCACTCAGAATTTCACAAACTTTTTTGACCCCAGGACTCTTCTATAGTATTTTAATCCTGGAACTTTCTAAAACCATACTTTGGGAAATATCAGTTTGGAATTTTTCTAGTAACGTCTATGACAATATTAGCTTCTACTTGGAATCAAAAGAATCATAGTGGAGAAACACAGTGCCCTTACAGTTTAATATTTTGCCTGAAATAGAAAGACTCTCTGATAATATGGAATGTATGCAACTGCCTAAAAATAGGTGATCACTATCGATGATAACAATCTCAATTCTCTGAGACAATGAAGCTGATTTTGGACATTTCTAATTGTTGGAGACATATTTCTCAAACTGAGCTTAAAACTGCCTCCCTGCCATTTCAAACCAGTGCATCTAGTTTTGCTTCCTGGAGCAACACAGAATCAAGGCAATAGAAAAGGCTCTTTTCAAATAACTGATGATTACTTTTAGGACTTACCTGTGTTTCCCTTTTCTAGGCTAAACATTTTTTGACTTTTAGATGTTCCTTATATGATAGTTTCAGACCACTCTAAATACCCTCGAATTTCTATGTATTTTTCAAATTGGCTTACATTTCTTTGTATGACTTTTAGTTTCCTTCTGAAATTTTCAATCTTTATTTTGATCTATTTGGTATGGTAAGCAGAATTGTCTGGTGGTCAAGGTTTGAAAACTCCAGTGTTTGGACTCCCTGGATGTCTGCTTCTGCTATCATTTTCCCTTTTTTGCTCATGGTGTCTTGTCTTCTAATGTGAATGGCCATTTTTGATTGTATACTGAACATTGCCTCTTCTGAAACCCATTTCAGGAAATTTCTCACTGTCTTATTAGCTCTTCGATATTTTTAAGATGAATTGTTTTATCATCAAACCTTATTTGTTTCCTTCAGCAGAAGATCGGACTGAATTTCTAATTTGCCATTATAAGAAATAGAAGTCCCCCAAATCATCTCTGTAAATCCTTTTTTATGCATTCTAGATTGTAGGCAACTTCCACAAAATGTTGAAATCAGTATCTTTAAATCAAAACAAACTCTCCAATGTGAACATTCCGTGATATAAATGGACAATTACATCCCTGGTTTAATGTCTAACATTATCTTACCTATCACAGTAGCCTTGTTGTGTCGTTGGTTCATATTGATTTTGAAAGCAGTTAAAACCTCCAAGTTGCTGCGCTCAAACTACTCCTAATCAAGGTCTTCCTCCTCTGATACTAGTTTTTTTTTTTTTTTTAAATATGTAAAGGTAGAAGTTACATTTATATTCACTGAACTTTATCTTATTAATTCTGGCTTTTTGTTACAGTCCATCAAGATCCTTTGACTCTGGATTTTGTCTTCCTTTCCTAACCTGATATCATTTTCAAATTTATTCATGAAAAAATGTTTAATGACATGGAAAACAGTATTATATCTTTCTTTTAGATAATACCAATCAAATGTGAACACCCTTTGAGTAAGATTGTTGAAATGAGTTTCAAGCTTGCTTCATTGGATTGCTGTATAAACCATGCTTCTTTATTTCATCCTCAAGTACTTCTTGAAAGACCTTCTTGAAATCAAGATATATTATTTGTGGCATTGTGGATTTATCAGTCTAGTAATCTCCGTTATAAAGGAAATTAGTTTGGCATGACTTACTTCTTAATAGCCCAATACGAGCACTAAGTGACCATTGCTTGCTTGCTTTTTTTTCTTTTTCTGACCTTCATTGTTTTTAATTAGTCATAATCTACTTACCTATGATGCAAAGCTACTTGTTTGCTGGGATCTTCTTGCACTTAAGATCTCAATATAATTAAATACTCATTCTGTGTCCTATCACGTATAATGTTCCTCCCCAAATTTCTGCAAATTCTCTGGGAGCTCAAAATTTCTGCAAAATTTCAGGGTCAATTCTGGCTCCAAGCTTTTGCTTCCACTGAATTACTTTCATTTATGGATTGTCTTGCTATGTCTATTCTATATTATGTTCACCCAGAATCTGGAGTTGGCATTCCCCCTTTAAGCATAGACACACAGACACACAAATTCTCCAACCCTACCAGAGTAGGGATGTCTATGAATATAGCAAACCTTACAGAAACTTACAGGAAAACAGAAGGGAGAGATTTCTATATTACAGCAATATACTCTAAGTGGCTCCAATTTGTAGAAATC